CCATCCATCCATCCATCCATCCATCCATCCATCCATCCATCCATCCATCCATCCATCCATCCATCCATCATTGCCTGCTTGTTCCAAACTTGGGTTGCAGGGGCAGCAGCTTGGAGAAGGGGTTCTCTCCAGACCAAAAGTGGGCGTTTCTGGCGAATAGGCGTTTGTGGGCGGCGAACACTGACTGGCTAACGGTATTTAATAAGCGTTTGTGTGGGGCGAACTTAAACTTAAATTTTTTTAAGACGGTCTTCATTTGTATTGTTTTGTCGACTAAGCTAAATGTAATTTATAAAACATGTATACATCTGATCTCATCATGCAGCATAAGCAACTGGGTACAGGCGTGAGGGCCAAAAGTCTGGTTATGTACCGACTCCTAAATGTGCTTGTTTTCTACTCTCTTTTTTTTGCTGCTCCTTTCTTTAATGTGGGCAAATCTGAAACATTGTCATATGAACAAATGAGATAAAACTGGCTCTTTAAGTAAGTTACATCAGCTCTTTTTTTAAACTGAAGGATTTTAAGAAACAGTGTTAACTCTACTGTCAAACACAAGAAGATTCTCTTTAGTTCTTGGTTGTAGCTGCACCTGACACAGGTTGGTTTGAGTCTGGTCTGGGTACAATGAAATATGAAACATCTGAAGAGAAACCTGCTCCATTTGTTCAAAAAGTCTGGTCTCAATTAAAGATCATGAGTCCTGTAACATATAATGAACAAAAAACAAATGTTCTCTTTAGAATCTAAAAAAGTTAAATCTGGTCCTCTGGACATTCAAAAAAACAAAAGCAAAACAACAAAAAAATGTAGAAACGTTTCGTCTCTCATCCGAGAGACTTCCTCAGTCTGAGGTGCTGTTTTCAGCTCAGTCTCTTAAATAGCACCTTCTCAGAGTGGATCAACCAGTTTGCTGCTGACAACCAGAACCAGCTGATCACATGCTCAAGAAGGACCATCAGCCTAACAATGGATCATTAGCACCTGATGGCTGTTTACTGTTCACAGAGGGCTGAGTGATACTAGCAATCACAGCATTGTAAGAGGGGGACAGTTGAACCCGGAGGCTCCACCCCTGTTTAATGATGGACGGTTTCTTTTCACAAAGATGGCCTCCTTTACTCCTCTCTCAAACCATCGTTCCTCTCTGTCCAGGATGTGAACATCTTCATCCTTGAAAGAGTGACCGCTGGCCTGGAGATGAGTGTAGACCTCAGAGTCCTGGCCTGATGATGTTGATCTTCTGTGCTGGGCCATCCTTTTGGCCAGTGGCTGTTTTGTTTCCCCGATGTAAGACTGATCACCCTCCTGACACTGAACAACATACACAACATTACTCTGTTTGTGCCAGGGGACTGGATCTTTGGGATGAACCAGTCTTTAATGTATTTTGGGGTTTAAAAGCCACTGGGACGTTATGTTTAGAAAATAAACGTCTCAGTTTCTCTGATACTCCCTCAACATATGGAATGACCACTGGTCTGGGTCTGGGTTCCTCCTTTTCACCTG